ACACACACACACACACACCGTGGGGCTGTGGTTTCGAGGGAGCTATGACACAATCCAGATTCTCTTAGCTGCCTATAGCAGCGAAATGTGTTTTGCGCAGAGCCATTTCCCTCAGAAGTCCAGATTTTCCCTTCCTAGCAGCTTTGATCCACATGGCACGGGGGGCTTGTGTCAACAGTCTTGTGTTTCAGCTGGAGGGCCCGGTGGACCCCCAAGGTGTCACTCATTGCCCTATGTCATTGCTGTGACAGCTTAACCACTATGTGGCGCTGCCACCCGCTATACACAAAAAAACCTTCCATGAGACAGTGGACATCCCAAGGACACAGAAGTGCACCCATGCACACACACACAGACACCAAAAACACTTCGCCTCACAACAGGTTTTATGGAATGCGACTTGAGGTTGGACAAATTTGAGTGGCACCTTTAATGAAATGCGGTCAAATAGAATGTTTTGCGGTGCTCTAATACTACCAGCGGTGTGTGTGAGCACGATGCGATGTCATCACAGAGGAGGTGTCAGAGCAGACAGTTAAAATGTGTAAAACACTGTGAGGTAGACTCGGTGATTAATGTCTTACAACATGCATCTGTACTGAAGATGGCGACACGATATGAGCAAACAGGAAGAGAAATAGAGAAATATGCAGTTCTTTTTTTAATCAACATGCTCTTTAAGGGATTTTATTAGGCAGGAGTTTGATTATTCTGCATGTATTTAAACATGCACTGATTAGCTAAGTGTGACTGATTGAACTATGTTTTAATCACTTGCTGCTCGGAACATTATTAGAACCATTTCGTGTAAATTTGTTCTTTTATTGGCACTTTTAATCTCCGCTTCCTTTCTTTGGTCTGTTTACTGTCTTTCAGAGGCTGTAGTGGGCACAGTTTTAAAGCTAGAGTAAAGGTACTAGTATTCCATGAAACTAGATGGGATAAGGCATCCATCGATACCATGTCATGCTGGCTTGTTCAGAAAGGGGGCCCAATAAGCTGGCATAGCCACTTTTAAAGACCTCTCATATCAAGATATCTGAATGAAAATAAGTTCTATGGGTACCCATAAGTAACCCCTATGCAGTTCTGGACACCAAATCACACAATTAATTTTTTATGGTGTTCCACAAAGTCTTGTGTCTTAATGTGATATTTTGGAGGGATTTTTGACCATCAATCAATTTTCGAGTGGTCAAAAGTGGTTACATTTTGCTGTCTGTGTAACAATCGGTATCAACCCTACAATTGCTGCAACAACTTATAGGACTTAACTGAGGGTAAGAGTGGCCATCATATACTTCTATCATAATGTATTGTAAAGATGCCCAGCCCCCCTTAACAAGGACAAAACAGTAAAAGTTCTGTCTACCACATAATCCCATGATGTCAATTCAGCAGAGAGGTTGTAGTGAGAAGAGAGTTTGTCTTACTGGTAGATGTCTTTTCGCAGCACAGTGCGGGTCAGGGGATTGTCAGCCTGTGGAGCCATGCTGAGTGAAGCCAGCTTTAATACCAGAGTGTCCTCTTTTTTCACATGGGGATCTACTGGGACAAACACAGAAAATCCAATAAAACTGAATATGGAGGGACATATACTGTAAAGAGTCAATACATTTATCCCACATGCAGGATTTTACAAATGCTTAAACAAAAACACTGCCTTATATGGCCTTAAGTGCAGACTTACCACTATTAGTAATTACTAGCTGCAGACAAAACAAGCCTCCATCTGTGACATTTCAACAATTTTATATTCTGGAGAAGTGTATATAACTGCGGTTGGTTCTTCAGAACTTCAACTATTTCTCTTAGAAAATGTCTTTGCATATTATGCAATGTGGTGACTCTGCTATGTCTGGTCGACCATGACAAGGACTTTCATAAGCGCACCGCAGACTTGAAGAATCTAAAAAACTGCATATGACATGTGTCTCATTGTTGAAAGGGTTTCCACGTCAAAACAAAAGTGTGGCTTCATATGCGATGAGTAGTTCTCTAACCTGATGCTGCATGTTTGTCTTGTGCTCCGGGGCAGAAGACCCTGATCACACTGGTGTTGATGTAGATGAGAGGCAAACACCGAGATGTCAGTGTGTGGCTTCGCATTGGCTGACCTGCTGACTTCCCACGCTCTCTGTAACGTCTTGGTACTGTAGCCTGAAAATAAATAAAAATAGTAAATTAATAATGATCATGACATGATTTTAACTTTTAGGTTCCTTTGACTAAGACTATTCATATCTATATTATTAGTTTTCCCAAATTTCTGCAAACTCTACAACCTTTGCTTTTAACGTCAACATTTGCATCTTAAAAAAACAACTACAGATATATATATGTGTGTGTTTTCTTGATGATTGCCAACAGGGGTCATGCCTTAAGATACAAAACAGTTACAGGCACTGACACCCTTTTTTTTCTACCTGGAACACCCCTGCTACAGTAGCCAATAAGGGACAGGATAGCACCACATCAAAGGGCTGGGCTGTCAGCAGGATTTCTCTCAGGTACTGAGGTGAGCTGTCTGCCAGAGGATCAGCGGTCAGCTGCTGACTGGCAGTGGTAGCACCGCTGCGCGTTGGCCGCTCAGGCCGGGTGGTGAGCTTGTGACGGACATTTTTAGTGACAGCCTGGGTGTAGGTGATGGACAGGAAGCCGTGCTGCTGGTGAGAGCCCTCCAGGACCTTGGCTGCCGTCTGGCCAGTAGTGACATAGGAGAAATCACACTTTTAAGCTGTACAGGATTATTTTCATCTGATTTCTTGGATGAGGTTTAAGCCTGCCTAAAAGTAACATACTAATAATAAATAAATTTATATAAATTATCCTATGAAATTATTAATTTAAAATCTTTATCAAGAAAACTGGGACAGATACAGATTCATTTCGATGCAGATCCTTTTGGAAAGGCTACATTTTACTGTGAACAATGCATTATATAAATTTTGACATTTGTAGTTTGGAAAATCAGGTTAAAACTTTCCTCTTTCATTTCAGGAAAAGGCTCAACCTCAACCAAAAAAATATCATATCATCATCATATAGCCTGTGTTCGCATATACATCTCAAAAAGCAAAGCTCAAGCTACTAGCTGAAAAGGGTTCTAGAGCAAATGTATTCATATTATGTGCAGTAATTTAGACACCGCCCCCCCCTTTATGAAAACTAATTTACAACTGCAGCTGTCTTCTGAGGCTGAACTATTTCTGATTTATCAGAAAAGCCAGACCTCCAGTCTTATGAGTGATTTGCAAAGCAAATACAAGGTGAATAATCACTGAAATACTCATTAAGTAAAAGAACATAATCTCCAACTGCATGATTAAAAGAAAGGCAGATCTGTTTAAGACACCAGGGTAAAGTCTGCTAAAACATCAAGTAACAGTGGACTGCTAATGAGAAAATTTAATAAATTAAATTATTCTAAAAACATAAAATCTGCACCCTTTTGGGAGATGTTCTAGGAGACTTACAAGTAATGTAAAAGATAAAAAAACTAATTCTCCTCAGAGACAAAGAGGCATTTTCCTTTAGAGCATTATGTGATAGCTTTTATTCATTTGTGATTGTTACTGTCACTACAGTTTAGTGCCAGTGAAAAATTTCAAGCAGCTACAATTGTTTAAAACCAAATTTAAGTAACATCTCTGAGGAGCACACAGAACTCTTTAAGCCACTGTTACTAGAGGTTAAGCAGAGTCAACTAAAAAAGGAGAAGAGCTGTATTCTTACAGGAGGGAAAAAGCCAGAGAAGTGGCTGAAAGTGTCTTGCTTGCTGACGGGTCGAACCAACACAGTGCGTCTGTTCAGCTTGTCAGTGCAAGAGAGGACCACTCCTCCACAGCTGCCTGAGGTCCGAACACCCTCCTCCGTACTGGAGGTGAGGAGAGGGGAAGTAGATGGCAGAAGGGACAGAGAAGGTAATTACATATATACAGATAGAGAAAGGTGGGGAAAAGACAGAAAAGCATGAAACTTTAAGATCATTTGGAAAAATTAAATATAGAGTAAACTGATTAAAACCAAAGGAAGTCACGCGAGCTTGAACCAGCTGAAATATTGTGGAATGGTCTTATACTATCCAATAATAAGGACATCGGAGCAACTGTTTAATTCTGGGATTAGCAATATTTTTAATGGAAAAAGTACAATTTAGAGGCACTTTAAATGCATGACCCATACACCAGATAAAAGAAAAATACTTGATTCATCTAAATGTATCTAGATCTATCTGTACATTCTTAATTAAACTACTTAAATAATGGAAACTGTGCTCTATCCAACACATTTTCATCCGATAGGTACCAGTATAAGACCATCACCAGAATGAAAGTTCGTCAACAAGAGAATGGAGGCCCATGTCCTAGCCTCCTCCCACACACGCACACACACGCACAGGCGGCTGTCACCAGATTATATTGGCTTAATTATTTATAGCCAACCAGAGCCACTGGAGAGACAGGTGAATCTTATACTATAAATGGAATTTACTTGTAGTTTTATTGTTTTCATTAAAATTTTAAGTTGCATCAAAATATTACACTTGCAGACACCCTGCGTTATAGCCAAAAACAATGTTTTTTTTTTAACTTCATTTATTTTCCTGTCTGTCCAGCATGAGCAGAGATGAGGGACCTTTGATTAGGAGCAGCAGAGTGGCAGAGGCAACAGTATATAGCGGCCTAAGGCTGCTATAGCTGGTTTGGGACAGGCAGAGGCCTCACCACGGCTGTCTCCTTGCACTGCAGAATGAGTCCTTCATAGTGACCAGAGTGCCAGCCCTGCCCTGGCCTGGAGAGACACACAACGCCAAGCTTAACTTGGGCATCTGGGACTACTCATACTGTTGTGGCAGGGACTGATAATATCTCTTTAATGGGAACAGTAGTTACAAAATTGCATTTAGCTAAGTGAACCACATTTTTATCAAACTTTCAGCAGCCTAGAGGCATACACTTAGACTCGCAATGCAGCTCAATTATGTATGCAAAATGACCATTCCTACTGAATTTTAGACAGTGCTTTTAGATATGAATAAAAATGCAACACATGTATTCACTTATGGAAATAATATGAAAATAAATAATATTATGCATTATTATTTTTTGTGGAGGCCATCCATAAGAAGCAGAGAACACCTGTAAAGCAGATATTAAAAATAAGTTAACATGAAGACAGGCACAACAATTATCATTCTCAGTGCAGCATATCTACAGTATATAAAACACATAGACATATACATGCACAGCGTTATTACAGTTACTCCAGGATGCCAAATCATGCACAACACATGTATGGCAAAACGTTTCACACGATGGAAATGGTTCAACACCATCTGCATCATTTCGTTAACGCCCCCCCTTTCTGTTAACTTGCCCCCCTCTTCATTACTCCCCACCAGATTACTGAGAGTTCAGAGAGAGAGAGAGAGAGGAGTAGGCTCACTGGAAAGTGCAAATGGATGTGCATGTGTTTCATCTTGTGTGCGTAAGTCGGTTCTTTCTGTGTGTGTTCTTATGTGAATATCTTTTTTAATCTCCCCACTCAGCTGTAAGAGTGACTAATACATATGGACCCCCCACAGCTCTCCATCTCTCCCATCATCCTTCTCTCTCTCTCTCTCTCTGTGTCTTTCTGTCTCGCTTTCTCTCCAGTCATCCTTCGCTCCGAGCCATTTGTGGAACAGCTGTAAGACATCAGCTCCAATTTGCGTGAGCTGCTCCTTGGAGGGAATAAGGGCGAACAGTCACCGGCCGTCCTCTCTCGGGGGGCATCTCTGCGTTTCAGAGCAGTTCAAGGAGCGCCATTGCTAGGGGAGCCCTGGCTAAAATAAGGAGAAGAAGAAGCTTCCTAATTTCTAAACTTCCCCCTGGTCAGAAGAAATCCTCTCCTACTGAGTTTAATACCCACTCATGTCCTTGCTTCAATGTTTCCCTTCATTTCACCTCCATATGATGAGTGAGCCCCCCACCCACGCCCACCTATTTCGTTTATCCCAGGGGACTCCCTCTCTGTCATTTGCCTTCCCTCCTCCACCCTTTCTTGTTATCCTGCTATTTTGATACAATCAGGGATTCAATTATATATTCACCTCCCATGTTCGCCTGACCTATCTAACTTTCCATTCATTTTCCAGCAGTGAGATAGCTGAGGCCAGATGAGACATTTTCTCCGTCAAACTTGATTTAATCTGACCCAATGCACACAAATAACCTGGGCTGGGTGATGAAATACCTAACAATTATCTGTTCAGAATGATTAATATGGACTCCAACCCCTGTGGGCTTTCTTGTATGTGTGGATGATACAGATTAGAGTGCACCAGAAGCCCAGAGGTCCTTCACTATGTCCTAAACAGCCATGACTGTAACCTGGCTTAGATGATAGAGTGCTTCTGCCTGCCAGAACTTTGGTCGGTTAAAAGTGTGTTGAGACCACGTTGTTAAATGCACATTAAACTGAAATAACCTAGAAATGAGAAAATTGACCCATTATCTACTTAGGAAGGCATAGAGGTCTACTAAAAAGATTAAGGTTGGCTCCGTCTCAGAAGCAATTGGACACACACCTGTAGAGAGCAGAGCAGTGTGATATAATGACCCACGACACCTTCACGCTCTAAAACTGTCTAACCACTGACATTGTCCTGGCTTAGGTTGATACTCCACACTGTATGTAACACATGTGGCCTGACAGTATATAAATCATCTGACTACAGTGAAACAGGGAGGTCTGTGAGAAGCTTCCTAGACAGTGAGGTTCAAAGCCAAGACACTATCGCCTCCGTCCCTTTTTGACCTGCCTAGGACACGGCTAAGGTGATGAAAAATCTGGCAAATCAGAATCAATACATATTATCATTTCAGTGGCGAGAGCATTGATTGCTAATGATAGGGTTCAATGCGGGCTCAGGGCCCAGGAAGGTCCATCTCCCTTTCACTGTCTGGCTCGATGAGAGAAGGAGGCACTTATAGGAACATATTTACTCAGGCACGTAGGCACACAGACCTACAAACACGCTCTGGTCTGCTGGATGCAACATGCTGGAGTGTTACAGATCGCTGTTTCATTATCTCCTCAGACAAAGACAGGGGGAATTGCCTCCTGCTAAGCGGCCTCTTTCCAACAGAGCAAGACCTCAGGCACGTACACAGCACACAATCTGAGCTGCTGATTCCATCACAGAGGAATGCGATCAAGGCAAGGAGGAAGAAATACAAGAAAAAATAAGGATTTAAATACCGAAAATGAGACCACTCTTTAATTGATGGGAAGAACGTGTGTGTATAGGCCATAAAAAAAATGTTTAGTCACAGCTTCAGTTTCACTAGGCTGAAGTATATGCTTTCATAATTGACGTTGGGAGAGATTACCATAAGGATGCAGTGGAACATTGCCCAGTGGTTTTCCTCCCCTAACAACGTGTTAATGTTTCTGTGAATCGATTCAGACACCGCAGGCTCAGAGAAAATGACTGACGGACTGACTGAACTCCTCTGTTTTGTGAGTCAGAGTTGGGCCAGTTCAGCCCATCCGTCTAGTCCGTTGGTCCATCTGTCTGTCTGTCCTTCTGCCTGTCTGTGGTCCGCACCGCAACAGCTGTCTGGAAAGATGATGACGCTGAGGTGATAATCCGAAAAATCACCAAAATGAGCAGAAGTGGCAACAGACAAAGTGTTAGTGGTACTGGTGGTAAGTGTGTGTGTTTACACTCTGGGACTGTGAGAGAACAAGTGTGTGGGGGCAGCAGGGTGACCTGGGGGAGAGAGAGACTGGAGGATGCCAGTTTTATTTCTGCTTCTGCTAGTGACATATTACTTAGACTTGACATCGTCATCAAAGCCATTCCTGCTTGCAGACTTAAAGATGAACAAAATACCTGGAAGCATACATGTGTTTACATGTACAGGATGTACTCTACCTGCATCTGTAGTGGTCGATGTTGAAGCTGCCAACTTTACATTTAATCTTTGTGTAAACATCTTGGACATCTACTGAGGCACTCAGGTCTTCTAGTTCACTGATGACACAGATTTCTGACAGAAACACAAAAAAAACAGAAAAAGAACATACATTCATGTAGGCAACTTAAGTGTGTATCAGTCTTTAGTTTGCAAATCGATGAATGCCGAGGGTTTGCAGAGCTCCCTCTGTTTTTGTTTTAGTGTGCTGTATGGTCCCCATTGCATTTGGCAAACAGGCTTACAGCTGAACTCGGATTTCAGGAGAGGAAGTTTCATCTGTGTGTGTGAATTTAATTTTAGTGGGCACGAGGACCTGCACTATAGCTAACCCTGTCCAGGTCTTTACCCCTGGTACTGATCCAACTGCTGTGGTCAGTTCTTACACAGTGGACACACAGTGTGTTTTTAAAGCTGATTAAGGCTAGAGCCTATGTACACACAAGCATACAAACACACATACACACAGACAACAAGCATGCAAACACATACACATTGCCTGGCTGCCTAAGGAAGTCATACTGAAAGGCAAAGCATGAATAAGATATCCTTCATCCTGTTATAATGAGAAGTGTGTGTGAGTGCGTGTGTGTGTGTGTGTGTGTGTGTGTGTGTGCCAATGTGTGTTTACACAATACTGAATGCCCATGTAGACTCTGTGTGTGGATTCATTAAAATGTATGTGCGTGTCTCGGAGCACCTTGTGTGCAAACAAACCCACCCACTGCAGGCGAAGTGAGTAAGCCTCATAGAAGGACTGATTAACTTTGTATTGAACCAAACATGTGAGCTTAACTGTTGGTTCTCTCTCATTGTTTCCACAGAGAAAGTCCCACAATCACAGGCTAGCTTGGGAAAATGGACTTCATGCATGTGAAACTATGGTTGTTGTTGTACTGTTGCCTTGTGGTGATTCTGAGAAAGGCAGAGGTTCCTAATGGCTTATTAAAATTGAAACACAAGGCTTGTCAGCTTTATTGTGGATACTGTGTGGAAAGAACTCTCCCAAGTTGTTAGATACTCAGAAACTCATACTCTCCGAACACGGTGTTGATATTGATGTATGAGTTTTCTAAACCCACCCTGTAAGACTCTTGGAAACCCTTAGTCCCTTCGCCTTAAATGGCTCATCTTAAAAGAAGGAAAGCGTACCACTGATTTGTGCCTTTAGCAGAGCCTCTGGAGACTCATGCTTGATTTTCTACCTCTAATCTTCCAACACATAATAGCATAACATTATACCCAAGAACCCATACGTCTGGAATAGCTGTTTTTCCATTTCTCTGCAGAGACAAGAATCTTATTTCCTTTGCAGTTGAAAAACACATTACATCATAGCAGATTGTCTGCAGTCATATCTGTGGCTTACTTATCTCCAAGAATGTATTCGTGATATTAGGCATCTAATATATTGCATACACACAATTTTTGTTTTCAATAACATGCTTAATGTGGTGCACACAGAAAATCCAGTGGTAAGTTCATCTCGCAACTCAGATGGCACATATTAAGCCCAAATCCAAAGTAATGCCTATTTAGGATGTCTCTAAGTCAAACCATCTCTGTGATGTCCTCCAAAACATTCCGTTTCCACTATTAAAGACCTTAAGCTGGGCGATCTGGTTGGCAGATGCTAAATATTACAGTCACCAATTAAAGGTAAATCTAGCCTTTCATCGCCCCAGTAAATCTAAACGGGACAAGAGGCGGTTCGCTTGGGATCCATCACCCATTTATTTATTTGTCTTTTCCCTCCATCCCTCCTTCCCTCCAGCTGCTTTTCCCTCTTAGGGCTCAACATTTGAATGAGGAAAGAGTCGGGGTTGATCACTTTAAGTGTTGATACAGCAAGACTGTAAAAACTCTGAAAAGCTTCCTGCGCTCTTGCACACTGCACACAGACATTTGCAATAAAAACTTGTCCCACTTTACATATGAAAGTTTTCTCTATTGTCTTACAACACAGCGTCATCAGATCTCAAATTTAGTTTAATAGTAAATAATGAATTTATTGTTCATTCAGAAAGTCACTTCCATTGCTCATGTTCATGACTTCTGTCGCTGCTGCCATAAACATAAAGCAGAGATTTTACACACCTGTGCAGCATTTCATTAACTTGATCCACATAAATTTGAACACACACTGTGTATTATCAATCAGCAATATAGAACATGTTCTGAAATCATTATGTCATGGTTGGGGTACCTGTTTTTTTGGCAGTTGGATCAGGAGCAAACAGTTTCACTGTGACCTTGGGTAACATCCACTGCATCCAAAGGCTGACCTTCCCGCTGGTTCCACCAATGCTGCTAGTCTTCTGCTCCAGAGTCACTGTGTCGGCGAACGGACTGTCGTCTCCTGCGGGCACAGAGTCACCCTAGAAAGCCAAGAAAGGATCTGTTCAATCAGGGCTGTCAAGATAGTAACAAGCCATGATTTGAGGCAAAACCTGTCACCACCACATGAGCTTGAAGAATTCAACCTTTTATATAACATTTTAAAAAAACTTTGTTCAATAAATTGGAAACTGAGGGGCAGGGAAATTTCCTTTTCTCGTCAATAAAAAACCCTCACATATTAATAAGATTAGGTAGTCAGTTATGAGATACAATAAAACAAGGAAAGGTATTTTATCAAAGAACATATGCACAAATACAAAATGTGCCTTTAAATTCTGATGATTGTGTGGCAACAATTAGTTTGTCTATCTGCCTATCCAACCATGTGTTCGACGAATGTGAACGTATGTTTGAAAGTGTTGTCGCTGTGCACGTAGCCATAACAAAGCAACCACCAGCTTTCGAGCCTTTTGGTGTGTAGATGACATCAGTGTCTGGTGAGCAGAACTCCACTCAGAGCTAAGCGATGTGTGGGGGTAAAGGACCATTGTGTGGAGCTGTCACTGGTGTTAACCCCAAACTAAGCCACCAGCACCCACATGGCCTGCTTTCACTCAATTGCGCCAGGACACACACGTCTTACAGCCTGGGAGAGAATGGGAAGTGAAGACCGGAGGCGGGGGCGAGATGGGGGGGGTTTGGGGAGGTGGAGAGGAAAGCAGGATGCGGCAGAGGAGGCTGCCTTCTGTGAGCTCTAATCTCATTACTGGGGGTTTGGCAAGGCACTGAGGATGACAGCACTGGGGACATTTTTTATTTCTCTCAACTCTCTTACTGGTAAATCTGTTTTGCAAACATGTATCTGCGTGGCTGACACGGGAAGTGAAAAGCCTGCAAACAAACAATATGGCAATTTGCAGCTCTGGCATTGCGGGATTTAACTTTTTCCACAGCTTTCCGCTTGCAGCATGGTAATGACAGATTGTGTCATTGGTTATCGAGCCTGGCTGTGGTTGGTGAGGAGGTTATCAACCATCTCAATTAGAAACCCCACAGCTGCTCGACTGATTACAGTGTCTTAAAGAGGATCCAGATGAGGAAACTATGTCCCTGTTCCACAGCTGGGGGAGGGTTGAGGGCCCCAGACTAATTTGCAAATTTAATTTAATCGCGCAGTTGAGGGTGGCTGACAGCAGAGCTCAATAACAACGGATGACAATTATATAAATAAATGAAGGATTATGCCGATTCAAAAATAGATTCAACATTACAGTGTATGGGGACCACTACAAACTGATGAGAAGCATGTGCTCCACGGGAAACATTAGCTCTCAGAATAAGAAAAGTGAAACATATGTGTTTTTGTATTTAAGATTTAAAATGTATCAGATCAGAAACAAACAAAGGAATGCAGCAGAAACACAAGCGTAAAATATATATATTCTATTTGTATTATATATTATTATACTAAATCTACTGTATATATAGAGTATAAATACAGCTTCATAACCTACACAATTATGAATGTAAATACTGTACATAGGAACAAAAATACCACAACAAAACAACACTGAATCAATTAATTCGCCCAGAACTAGCATTTGTCCCATTAAGTGTCTAGCAGTGTCATTATGTGTTTCCATGGAAGCAAACAGTCAAGGTGTCAGTGTGTGTGTAATAACAGTAACTGGCACTGAGTAATATGAACCCAGTAGTAATGGCGTTCAGTCAGTCTCAATGAGAGATATTCTAGTGTCAACTGCCATTTGGGGACTAATTATTGTTGAGCTGGAGTCAAAACACAGCACTCTGTGTGTGTATGTGTGTGTGTCTCTGTGTGTGTGTGTGTGTGTGTGTGGTTAGGACTGTTTAGTTTACAGTTCTGGCCAGTCGGTAGGATTAGGCTCTGTAATGTCATGTGTGGAAACAGGAGCCAGCCGCTGGCGCTGTGGGAAGCTCAGACCACTGTGTACTGCAGTGTGGTTACGCTGGAGCATCGGACACCCGACTGCTCCTTCTTCCCAGCCAGAACCACTGCTATCACTTCTAAACTCTCTCTTATAAGGCTGATTTTACCAGGGTCAGAAGAAATGATAGACAGACTGACATCCCTGCTATTTTTTGGTGTCACACAATAGTTTTTCAAACAAATTTCTTTGACTTTTTAACAGATGAATCTTGTTAATATGTTAATATGAGAAAAAACAAAAACAAAAGGTGTAACTGATTTTAACTGTCGTACACTTGAGTTGAGTTTGTTTTTTTGTTTTCATGTATACCTGGGATTTTAGACCACCTGAAAAATGTAAAAAGAATAAAGAACTATCAAACTAAAGTTAAGATCACTGATAACTTCCAAAAAGCCTAAAAGTTCCTGTTTTCATCAGTGTAGGAAATTTCCCCCTCCTCCTCTTATCAAGGTGAGGCCTTGAAGAACAGATGTGGTGGTGTGGTGCTGGTAGAGGTGGGCTCTGCCACGTTCTTGAGCTGCCAGATTGGGGCCCCAAACACACACACATTCTAGGAGGGAGCTATTTTCCCACACCTCTACAAGCCAAGTTGTAAAGTATACAGTTTAATTCCTGAGCCTCTGCGCTATAAACGGGCTGAGGATCCGGGTTTATTTTCTTTGCAGAGTTTGTCTTTGCTCATCAGAGAGACCCAAACATTGGAAGACAACAGCAGGCTGGGAAGTGTCAAAGAAAGATGGAGGACAAGGCACAGAGAGAATGTGGTTTAGGGACAGGTGGAAGGATGAAGAAAGGTTGGGAGGGTACAAAGGATGGGTTTAGCAAAAAAGATTAAAAAGGAAATGATAGAGCAAGAGTGGTGGGATAGAGCTGGGGATCAAGATGTAGTAAGAGAATGAAAGAAGAGAGAGATGGAATAAAGCACAGATGGAGAGACAGAATAGGAAGACAATTACAGAGATGGAAAAAGCAAAAAACAGAACTTGGCATGTGATCCACCACATTCTGACATTAATTCCTAATAACTGATATCACTGAAATGTCATGCTAGCAGTCAATATCACAGGAGGTTATTATTGCTAAAACTTAATGAGGGATCTTAATTTCTAATGGTGGTCACGCTTTAATCAGGTTAGGAAATAATGTTTTTTAGGCTATGGTCAGGTTCAAAATTTGGTGCCAAAGGTCAGGTCAATTAGAGTTATAAGAGAATGTTGTCAGGTCAAGATCAACATAAGAACATGTGAAATGCAAAGGAAACAATTCATAAATACTAGAAAAACCCCAAAATGTCATAGAATATTGTGTCAGCTCTAGAGCTGAGGGCAGAGGAATGGTTGGGAAGGCGCCGTAGGCCAGGGGCCTTTGGGGTTGCGGTATGGATGTAGTTGAATAACTAGAAGAGTGAGGAGAAGGGTGGGGAGCGGGCTTGTTGGGAGAGAGACTGCTGCCACTACTGCTGAGACTTATCAAAACAGCTCCTACATTCTTGCTCAATCACCCAGCCTCCCAGAGGACTAAACACTTCTACCAGTGTTTGTACTTAGGTAAACAGTGACAAGTGGGCTGTCAGGGGCCTCTGTGGCCTTGTTATAGACGCACTATACCATAAGGCCTCCTCTGCCATACTGAACTGCTGCCACTTATGCGGGTCGACAAATGACGCAAGAACACACACATGTTGATTTTAGAACGGAAACAAATGCGGACGCAGATGCACATCGACATATGAAACACTTTTTTCGTGTATATGTACTCACAAAGACACACTTTATTGCCTCTCAGGGCGGTATGATGGTTGTGCTGTGATCCCAGGGGCCCCGCTTTGCTGACAGGGCCCTGGTGGTCAAACAGCATTAAATCCTGGGCTGGTTTCCACAGAAACACTCAACAACACAATCATTTTTATTCATCCTACTTCACGCAAACATACACATACATATTAAACAAGGCCCTGGTGTCTGAGGCCCCAAGGCCATGGGCCCCCAGCTTGTCACTGTTAGCTGCTACTGTACTAGACAAGAGAAAAAACTCCTGCCACAATATCTAAACCTCGCATAAGTATCGCCTAGGGTCAAAAGGAAAAACAACCCTCATAAGTTGTTGTTGCCCCCTAAAAACTTTGACTGTAATTTTTCCGTTGGCTTCACACATGCCTGCACGCATCGCTACACTTCATACTTCATTCCCTGGGTTTGATATTTTATCTGAGCAAAAAATGTAAATACAGGTTATTGTTTTCTCCAAATTAAGAGGCAGGTTTATACTCAATCAAGCCTCAGCTTACACGAATCAAACAGAGCTCACAAGCCTATCTGGAGTATCTGTTCTGGGTAAGAAAAAATAATGAAAGAAACACAAGCACTGATGAGATTTTTCCAGCTTTGAAAATCCTTCCCAAACAAAACAGTTTTAGTTTTTTTTTCAGACAGACAAATTGCATGTGTTAACACTGACTCAACTATTCATAACAATAAAAAATACAATATTTGCACTTAAAATCATAAATCAGCAGCAGAATTAAATATACAACAATGGCTTAAATAGCATGTGTTATTGCATGACTCATAGCACCTTAGTTTTGAAAAAAACCCTCATAGTTGGGTGTTGTCATTAGGCTTCTTATTAATTAAGAAGCACAACACTTGACGAAAAGAAGTTCAAAAGCGGATGACATCGAGCTGTGTAATATGGCAGAAAGTACACGAATGAATGAATGAATTAAATAGTAAAGCATTTAAGTCAGTGTCAAATAAATAAAGTGCCATTGCATTATGTATTGGAGGCAGTGACACATTTTCTTCTGATTATGAGAAGAGGCTTGAGTTTCTGCAGATTTCAACAGGTTAAATTGAAGACTTTTTAAGACCATTCTGAATGCAATTCAAGACCTTTTTCACAACCACATTATAAAAAGTACAAAGAATATGAAGACAAATTGAAATTGGTTGCCTTTCTGGTTTCATTTTCTCCCAGAAAGACAATTAAAAGTGAGACTGAAAAATGCAACTTCATAGAACTAATGTAAACCTAATTAATCCAGTCCATTTTTATCAAATCATATTTAAGACCTTTTAAAACTTTTTAAGACACCATAGACCCCCTGAAAGACCTCTCATAAAAACACTGAATTGACAAAATGAAATGTGTAGCTGGGGGAGAAAAACAAACCTCAGTGGGTGAGCCAAAATCTGCAGAGGGGCTGCAGGTGCTGGTGTCTGGCAGGGCGGTGCCAGCACTGCTGCGCACTGGGGAGGAAGGAGCAGCGCCGGCAGGAGGTTCTGGGATGCTGGAGGTCTGACGCAAGATGCCATGCCTCTGGAGACGAGCCCACGTGGAGCTCCAACTGAGGAGAAGCTCGTACAATAGCTGAACCTGGAAAGAGGAACAAGAAGCTTAAGCTGCAATGCTAGATACAGTATTTTGAAGCAATTGTGTACAATCCAATGATTTGGATCGAATGTAATCTGATGTAGTCTAATGTAAGGAAAAAGTATAATGCAGGATTTTCACTTCAATCAATCGATTTTTTTCTTATTGGAGAATGTGCTCATAATAGAAAGCTCTTTCTTGCTATACACACAGCTTTGTGCGCAAAAAGTGACCATGGCAAGACAGCTGAATACACTTTCAATTGATGTAGTCTGCTGTGCCAATTGAGTGCCTTAAAAGATAAACCTAAAACACCACAAGTAGTCTTAATATTTGAAACCAGATTCAAATGTATTTCTGCCAAAGTCTGACTCAAACAGCTGCACTGGGGAGTTCTCATGTAGTTCTGACTTCTGAGGCCATTACCATGATTTGGCTTGGCAGCTTTGTAGTTATGTGACACTAAACCTAGTTAAAGTTGAGAGAGAAGGCGGAAATATTAGCCAGAAATGGACCACTATCCATTCCCATTTCTTTCACTCTCCAACTTAGCACTCTTTTAGGCTTCGTACTCGTCATTCAGAGAGGCCTCATTTCACAAAAGTGATGTCAAACCTATGTGTTCATGTTCCTATCCGACGGATCATTATTTGAAAGGCACAGCATGCTCATACACGTGCTTCACTGTACAAATTTGTTATCCATAACAACAAAACTCCCAAAGAAACACCCACAGAGGAAAGTTAAGTTGTGTCATCAATTTCCCCTGAAAAACTCACCACGGTTAGGAAAAACTGAAGGCTCGGCGTCAAGTGTTCTCAACTATTTATCATGTGTTCACATGAAAAGAGGCCTTAGCTTCAAACAACAACAAAGCCAAAAACAAGAGTGGAAAACATGAGGGGAAGGCAGGGGAATGTGATGTGATGCTTTCAGTTATTCATGCACTCACTCAGTGTTCTTTAGAGAAAAGAGAGAGGGAAAGAAAGAGAGAAAAGTGACGCTCTTTCACAGTGAGCTAATTTCTGGATTTCAAATGCTTCGCTTCTGCAGCCAACTAACCCCCCACCACTGAGAATCCCTCAAAAGTAAAGGTGCACAGACACAAAATAGCTTTCTCTACTCCAAACACATTTTTACTCGCTATTGCCCGCTCAAACACATGCATGGCTGTTAGCACACACATTACAGGGAGGCCTTCCATAAATAAGCATAAATCAAATGAAAAGCCGCACAATACATTACAGCTGGGCCATTTCAAACATGTCCAGGAAGAGCTGCTAACGCCGATCCAGCAGCCGTCCAGGGACAGGGCCAACAGCTGTCTGCCATACCCAACCGGACTGCACTGCCGTCAGGAGAGGAAAGGCTCCACGCTCTCTTTTCTGAGAGTCTGGGGCCTGGAAGTCCAACCAAGCACAACAAGGCCTACTGCACTCAGCAGCAGATGTGGAGGAAGAGAGAGAATACCAAGTAGAGGAGAAAAGGGTGGAACAAAAAGGGTTGTTACATGACCTCTGTTTTAGCAGAGTCTGGGGTTTAGACCCTATCCCCTCTTTCAGGATGAGATTTTTACTACATTTCTCATTTATCTCGTTCCTTTCATCCACCCTCTCATCATTTGTCTTCATATTTTATTTTGTCCTTCTTGCCATCCTCACCACACTCTATCCTTCTTTTCCTTCATCTCTTATCTTCCCTCTGCCATTTGTTCCATCCTTTGTCTACTTCCTGCTCAAAATATCCCTGATTAGTGGAATGTAGGGTCAGTTGGTTCAGCTCAGCTACTGTTGTCAAGCCAGTGGACAGGCTTGGCCACACACGCACGCACACCCACCCACATGCACGTACACACTCACACACACACGTACACACACGTACACACACGTACACACACGTACACACACATACACCTTCATACACAAATGAACACGCTTGCATGCTTACATGAGCTCACAATGCATATACCACACTCTGTGAGTTGAGTTGAAGTGAGCAGAACATTTGGAGGGCTTGGTTCTCCAAAGACCTGTCATCTGCAGATCAGGAGGTCTGCTCGGCTGCAGTAGTACAAACTGGAGACTGAACAGAGGCTTCCACAGTCATTCATAAAAACACAGATGAAAGGCGGGACAGCGTGCAGATGGTGAGTACTTGTGTGCCTTTATCTAAGCATAGTTTATATAGAAACTTCACAAATTTGACATATCGTTGAGTTTGTGCGGTGGCTGATATATGTGTGCGTGTGTGCATGTGTGTGCGTGTTCACTTAAATGCTGTACAATTAGATGTCAAAGGTCAAAGCAAACTGTGATGGTGTGTGTATGTCTGCTGATTTCAAGGTGGTCCTGATAAGGTAAAAGAGAAGCTACTGACCCCATCCTTCTGACACCCACATGAATCATTCACACAGACACAAACACATGACACACACTTTGCATAGCAAGAGCATGCAGGTAAGTTTGATGCGATCGCCATCCCATTAAAAGTCGGTTTACAGCTTAAGTACAATATATAATTTTGATATGTATAAAATGAATAGGGGAATGATGCTTTTATAACTCTCTGTAACTAGAACTTTGGTGACTTCACTGGCACAAGGGAGTGTGTACGTGTGTGTTTGTCCTTCTCTGTGCCAGCATGTGACAATTCACCTTGGGTGTTCTGTGTTAAAATTAAATGAGCATGTGATGGAAAATGCAACTGTGTCTTTGCGTGGCCAGGCCCCTTTCCCCCTTCAGTCTCTTTAACTACTGCTTATCCCTTATTTTACTATTAATGTTTTTGTCACACATTCAAAGACACTTACTTCACTTCCTATCTTAGCTGCAGTTGCACCCTAACATTTACTGATCCAAAATCCATTCAGAAACTTGCCTATTCATGTGTACACACTTTCATAGAGAGAATTAATTAAATGACCAAGCTTTGCTTATGCTTTTAAACATTAAAACACAACATATATTGACACCTGTGGGAAAAAAAGTAAAAAGTTAAAAAAGATGGCTCGACCGTTTCACCCCAGTCTCTAAAAATACCTTTGTTTGTATCATGAAGTAATTCATCAGATATTATGGAAAATCTGATTGAATGTCACAAAAATGCAGTTTAAATGCCAGGAGAAGTTAAGAGGCCAAACTCATTGGCTTTATTTGTTGACTTTAAATGTATTAATGTCTCACAATTAGTGTAATAATGATTGATTTTTAAGCGCTTGATGTAAGTCCACCACCCAAACTCCTCCTGCTCACTACACCCATCACTGTGTTCTGACTGATGACTGTGCTGGTGGTATTTATTGTGCAGCAACTGTGCAGCATTTTGACATCCCCATATACATTCCCACAAATGGCAATGCTAATTAGAAAGAGGTAGTAGTGTGAGGTCTCTTTTGTTCTGGAGAGGGTGGGGTTGTTCTGGCAGTGGTTCTCAAAGCGCTGCTGCACGACTTGAACTGGTACAGTATTAGCTTATAACCCCCCTGGAGTCAGAAATTTACACAGAGGAAGGAAAGAAAGAGAGAGGAGGTGAACAGATGGGAAGAGAGAGAAGAGGGACTGTGATGAAAGAGAAGAAAAGAAGGGAAGAGAAAAGAAGTTTTCATTGGACCCAAAAACTAATAATGACTCATCATATAATCGCAATAAGCCTTCCCAGCTTTGCCAGACACAGGCACTCCGTTTGAAAGGGAGAACAGAGATGAAGAAGAAGAAGAAGAAGAAAGAGAAGAAATTTTCCCTCAATAAACGACCAGCTCTCCTCATCTCTGGGAAAGTTTTCACCACTAACAGATTAAGGCCTTTCATTTGTTTCTGGTACCAATTCCCCTCAGTATCACCATGGCTCATCACTGTGGTCAGAGACATTTAACAGTGTGACCACTCAAAAGGTCGCCCCAATTAAGTGTTTACAGAGGGACCTAATTCAATACAGCTAACTCAATTGCAAAAAAACAAAACATATGTAATGGTACATGTAGATGTGATTACAGCGCTGTAACAGCGTGATGAACAACAACGCAGAGATCTAACCGGGAGACAAACAGACAAACCGTTTCCAATCTGTCCATATTCATCATGCTCACACCAAAACATAATAACACACTGTAAAACAATGATGGTGAGTCTTGCAGTTCTCCTTCAGTCAGACCTCAGAATGTTTGACCAAAACAAACAAGGCAACACTCTCTTGTTTACACTTTCATTTTCATGAAAATTATACTAGGTAAGAAGATGAGGCAGTTTGTTTATTGAAGTCAATCTATATCAGAAAATCATGCAGGGGCAGGATCACCCTGCCAGGGTTCGTGTGTTCATGTTTCAGGAAAGTTTACAACGGGATGATTTGTATAAATATACATGTAAATCTGATGACTACTTTGTGAGATTCGTGGACTGTCTGACTGACCTGAGGGTTGGAGCACTTGACGTGGATGGGCTGCAGATCAACATGGAGGCAGACTACAAAGGAGTGTCTTCCTTCAGAACAGCTCTGCAGCTTATGGGATGTGACCGCCAGTGTGGAGGTACAGCCCATAGGCTCCAACAGGCTCAGGCTTCGCTGCTGTCCCAGCAATGTGTACACGCTGAACTGACTCAGGCTTATTGTCCACGGGAAGGCATCACCTGGTGACAGACACAGAAAAAGAAGGATGCATAAAAAATGCAGGAATGGGATACATACCGTGGGAAAAAGAGAATGAAAATTGCAACAGAGAGATATTGGCAGAGATTAAGAGGAGCAGGGAGAATGAGAGAGAAGGGAGAACAATGAGCACAAGCCAAATGATTGTGAAATTGAGAGAAAGACAAAGAGAGATGCAAGAAAATGCAATAGAGATTTGGGAAAAAAATATTTGAAGGATAAGTCAGTAATGCTCATAATCAAAAACAGTATGACAACTAGATTATTCCTCCTGTTTACCTTTTAAATCAAAGCCAATCACTGTACACGGGATGAGAAAGCTTTATGGAAAACATTAACGATGCACTAAGGAGTATCTTCTGAAAAGCAACACCCAAACTACTCTACACCCAATAAGCAAACAAAGGATGCCATCAAAAGACACGGTAAAATGAGACTGTTTTCTAAGTCTGTGGTTCTGAGACAAGATGCCACACTGGAAGAGCTTGAACTTGTTAACTTGCCAACCCTGGTAGAACCATCTGACAGAGAAGGGGAACTTGTTCGCTAGCACAGGGCCATGAAGAGCACATTTCCCATGCACCGTGGGCAGGACGCTTTGATCCAGAGCATTGAGAATGAGAGATGAAGAGCTTTTCAAAGGGTAGGAATGAATTACTAAAAGCATGGGTTGTTAATTTTAACGGCAACATTGACAAGGCTGCTGATGTAACTGTTTTTGCTGTCGTTTTTCTTTCTCCTCCGTTTCTGAAATCTGTATGCCCAATGCTGATGTCATTGAAGAGTTGAAAAAGGAGGGTGCCCCCCCCCTTTTTTTTCTTCTTCTAAAGAGAAAACACTGCTCACCCGTCTGAGTGTTGCTTGTGTCAACTCTACCAGGTGTGCGCACCACATGTGCAAGATCTATCTCTCAAAGTCGCTCTACTTAAGTTTGTTTGTCTTTTGTCATGGTAAATGAGTGGTAGTGGGTCAAAGGTTTGCTCAGTGTTGAAAAGACCATAATGATGATGAATTCACATTATGTAGCCTATTACTATTATGAAAGCATTCATTTCAATTATTAATAAAAGCAAATTTATTTGTAATAAAAGTTGAGTAGATTTTTCCCACCCACTGAAATTTATTTGCCAAGACTCCCATTTTTAACCTATGAACCTATCATCATCATTGTTTTCCAAAGTGTGAAATGTTGTTTTCTCATTTAAACTTTCAAATCAATCTTTTTGACACCAGGTCATTTGGTGTTCTCACTGCATATCTGGGTGTGTGTTCCTCTCCCAGTACTTTAATCATTCTAATTAAAGTTGAGATTTCATTAGACACAGTATGAAACCTACCTTCCTCCAAGATGGGCTTGGAGACCACAAAGGGGAGCTCCTGCAGCGGTTCCATGTACTTGTGCCCAGCACTGAGGACACTGATCTGTGGCAGGCAGACTACCAGAGTCCCGGGCATTGAGGCCTGGTTGTGGTACCAGCTACGGACGGTGCCGGGAATGTCACCACAGATGATGGTGCTTGGAGAGGGGAGGCTGTCATTAGGCAGGAACACACAGCATGACTGCAGCTCCAGCTGGAGAGGGGAGGGAAAAATAAAAGGACAATTGAAACCACAATAATCAATTCACATGATCACTGACCACCCATCCGCCTTGGCCTCCTTATATGATTTTAACTGAGTCAAGTGCTCAAGGGGAACTGCTTCGTGCCAACATTAGAAGACTTTGATTGCATAAGACAAAGTGTGTGCACAACATTGGGTGTTGCTGGAAAAGACCGAACATGCCTTATAAGCCTTTCCTTGATTTAAAAATGGAAACAGTCAATCCCACATTTAGTCATATATGCTGTTCTGCCTGACGCCTATCTCATGTTATGCATGTATGTTTCAGTCCTGCTTTAGGATTTGCCTCCAAAAAAACTTTTAAAGTAGAATGTGAGACTCTAAATGCCCATTTAAAACCAATGTGAAATTCCATATCTAGGAAACAGAACACCTTTTACAATGTCAGGGACTTTTCACAGTTAAATCTTGAACTCAAATCCTTTTTGAAGTCTTTTTAAAAGGGTTTGAGACCCATTCCAGCTGAATTGTGTCACACATATTTCTGTTCACCAAAAAAGTGAAATTTACAAGCCATTAGGTCAGTACCCAGTAGCCAGTAAGTGTACGAGCAGTGTCTTTTTCCATTACACCAGGCTGCACTGATTTAAAAGACCAGTTAACAGAAAGGAGAGGAGTGCAGGGTCCAGGGGGCAGCTAGCAGGTGCTGCCAAGATAATGTGCATGTGTGTGATTGTGTGTCAGTCAGAGAGCTGCTCGGTTTAATGACTGAGCGCTGTTATACTGCAATATATTCAGTGTACAACACACATCCTCCTCTGAAATTTGCATACACACTTGTAAAGCCCTCTGCTAACATCACACACACAAATGTTGGAACGCCTCCAACGGGCCTGTATTTGAAGGCCAGTTCTCCCAGCTTTGATGAGAGCCGAGAGAGAGCGAGACTGGCAGAAACCAAGAAACAAGGTTGAAATACAGACAAAGGGAGAAGGAGAGCAAGAGAGAAAGAGGGAGAGATATGGTTACACATTCATCTCACGCTGCTTCCTCTTTTGATTACTCTTCAAAGGGGGGTTTGAAATCGGAACACTTTTGCACACTGACACATAAGTCTTTGGCCATTTTTAAGAGCCGACACGCAGGAAGAAAATCCATTGACACTGCCTGGTCTGCTGCAGATCTTAGCAGGGTTAAGCTGTAAAGCAGGCAGACACACGGAAACCGCTGGGTTTAACACTGTGACTCTGGTCTGCACCTTGAGCTCACTGCCTGAAGCTAATGCTCTCCTGCTGGACATCTTGGTTTAGTCATATACACATTATTTCACATTATTACTTGGGCTATTCCTCAACCATCAAATGTTTTTTTTGAACAATGGCACTCATGACAACCCAAGAACTATTGTACTCAATGACTATATTATAAGTAACATCAAAGAGTATTTTATACAATTGATTTGTAGTACAAACAATAAAAATGCTTGTACAACAAGTTTGGAGAACCTTAATACTGCCTGTCTCAAAACCTTGACATTAAACAAGCACATTTAGAAAGCTTGAACCAGCAAATTTTTGCTCAATAAATTACTAAAATAATAAAGGCGTTATTCATCCATTAAATTGTCATTGATTCATTTTCCATCAATTCACAGCTTGATTAATTGAGTAATCATTTCAGGACTAATTTAATGCAGAACCAAGATCAAATGTTGTTGAAAGGTATGTATATCTCTGTATATACAGTATGTTTAAGCTTAACCCTATTAATGTCAGAGATAGAGGTACATACTACGTTCAACCATAACAAATAGAAAGTAATCTTATACTTAAACATTTGCTGTTTCAAACGGATCATTTCAGAGCAGAGCTATCCTACCATACAGACCAATTGTATATCAACTACAGTTACCTAAATTATTTTAGTTCCCATACTGTGTCTGATGGTTGACTAAATCTGTCACCATATATCAAACTTTCGGAGACAAACTTTTATACATAATCATTGGAAAATATCAAATACTAAAATAAATGCTCACTGATGAAAGTTCACTCTGGTGAACTACTAAAAAACTAAACTTGAAAAGACACAGATGTCAGGCGCTTTATTTCACCAGACATTTCATTTTATATGAAGCGTTTTATTAGCAATTGTGGGATATTTTTAGCTAAATGTAATATATGAAGTAGATTTTTGTTAATAATTATTTAGAAAGGGAAAGTTAATGGCGAGAAATACTTTAGGTCAGCCAGTTTTTTTAGGGGGGGAAAAGCTTAGCAAAGGTCTAAACTAAGAGTAGTTTGTGCCACAAGAGGAGGTATCCAGAAATAGTTCTTGTACTATAACAGGGCAGATAAAAATGGGCACCTACTGTATAAGTGACCACCCTAATTGCTAGTGTGTACAATAAAACATAATACCCTTAATGGTGTTTGCTTATGACTTTATAATGCTTTGCTGTTGTTCCCCATGGCAACAAAAAACCAAAGATGATGTCAAGTGTATGGTAGCTACAGACTTGCCACATCACACAGTGAAATACTAACAATAATCAGATAACATCTCACAGATGACAACAGAGGAAAAAGTTGAACAACTGAATGGCATTCACTGGGCATAGCGACCGCTGTTTCTACATGTTTACACTATAGCAAAAAAAAAGACTCAAAATGCTTCAAAGGGCCTAAGTATGTAATGGAAAAGAAAATGGCCTGTCAGTCCTAAAACTGGGTGATACAAAACTAATTCTCAGTCGGCTTTTTTCTCCTCTTTCCCTCCTTTTGGTGACAGCTAATAAAAGCCACAAAAAACACCGAAACAAACATGTTGTAATTCACAATGGCAACGGTGCATGAGACTATCTGAGTGCGAGGGCGGTGAATAAAGCAACATTTGCTTTTCTTTTGAGTGAGGGAGTTAAGGTCAGCAGGGTAGATAAGAACGATAGTGAACTTGGTACTTCACACACTGGGGACCAGAGGCTGCAGCCGCAGATGAATATCTGACTTCAGATCACACAGTCGCTAGAAGAAGGATGACGGCACGGAAAGACAAGGGAAATAATGCTATACCAAACATACGAATATCTGTAATGCTAGTCAAATACCTTGCCAGGGTCTGGATTAAATCGTGCTAAAGTCTGTGGGGCCAGAGAGTCCATGAACAAACTCCTTATTGTAATCCATACCTACTCCAGGAGGCAATACGGTTACTGGCTGAAGTTGTATCCAAGACAAATATGGTAAACAAGAAAGATCAAAATATAATGAGACGTAGAAAGCAGTCAGAGAGAGCATGCCTCTGCCAAGGCTGCACAATAGTCTACATTTGTTATTTTAATAATAGAAAATGTTTAGGAATGTTTAATCTGCATCTGGATCTGAGGCAAAATACACACTGCGATAGACAATCCTGGGATAAATGTGCCAGATTTTTTTGAAGGAGGTACAATAGTTCATGAGAAAATAGCGAAAATGTCGGAAAATGCCCTATCTCGCAATGTTGAGAAAACCTTTCTAAAGGTTTAGATACCCGCCTTCCATGAGCCATGGCATGACTTTTCGTGCATGGGTGATATATCCTGCAAAGAGAGAACCAGAAGAGGTAATGAGAGAGACTATACACCTCAGACTGGTGTATTGAATTCATTTCCTTTGGTACATGCAAAAAGCATGTAATACAATGTTTTTCATCAGCGGTCCTCCGTGGCCGCTGCTAGAGACTCAGGAATGTTCAATATGACTTCCACTCGTATGAATTCATGTTCACTGACATGATGCCTTTGCCATGGAAACCCTCTGCTTTCTCAGTCACAGCAAACCACTAGTCGTTTAAAGACAGCCGAACAATTCATCCTGGGATGTACTCAAAATACCAGTTAAACATACTGACAGAACATTGTAAATGCCCGTCCTTGGTACTGCGGTACGGTTCACAGTTCTAGGAACGTGAACTCAGAACCCTTCGAGAACCCACTGGCTATCCTCCACCCTGTTCCCTGGGCTACCACTAACAGCAGGTCACCCTGGTTAACCCTGCAGACTTCTCCAACGCTGCCCCTATTGTGGTCTCGTGTTTGAGCTGTGACTCACACACACACAAACACAAAAAGACAGACATGCAGTATCCAAACAAAGACAGGGGTAACAAAGGGCAAGAGCGGGAGCACTGGCACTGCCGAACAGCGCTGACAGATCCAGAGAGAGAAACAGTCTGAGGTCAGAATGTCCCATATGCATCACTGCTTTGACTGCGGCCAAAACCATTGACAGCTCTTCTCCCTGACCGACTCTGTATCCATCTATCCCTCCATCACGCTCTGTCCTTGTGTCCCTCTCACTGCTGAGGCTTGGCTATTGGCGTCCAGGTCTCACACCATGACCATGCATTGATTCAGGGTGGAAAGTCTGTGTAGGGATGTTTTGACCGGAGCAAGGGGACGACAGAAAACCCTAGAGGAGGGGTGAGAGGAGAGGAAATAAGAGCTGGTGGGAGCAGAGGGGAATCCAGTGTTTGCGCTCAGCATTATGGAATAGTTGCATACACTACAAATGTTCTCTGTACTAACAGGTCAAAGCACAAAGTGAGAGTGTGTGTGTTTCATGTCACAACTTCAGGTGTAAAAGTTCAGTTGAGGTTGTGCAGGGTCATGTTTGGTATTCCACACAATTGTGTTTAACAGCTCTGTAACAGGCCAATAAACACAGCACTGGAAGCAGTCAGCCTGTGTGACAATGTCCCCCTACTGCGAGCTGATGGGCATGCCAAGTTTGTGTATGTATGTGAGTGTATATGTGTGGTGTGTGCTGTGTGTGGGGTGTGTGTGTGTAGGTGTGTGTTGTGCTGTGTGTGAGAGAGAGAAAGCATGCACAATGTCCTGTGACAGGACAGGAAACTAACAGGTATGCCAGGTTGACCTAAAACTCACATTGTTCCGTCACATGCTTGGGAGGCAAAGGGCCACATTTGCAGCGTGTTACTGGACTTTGGCAAGGCTCAGCAAACTAAAT